AATAGTGGACCCAGAATTGATCCTTGTGGAACGCCTTTAGTTATAAGCATCTCGCTATGGAGTCTTTTACAATTACCGCTTGCGAACGGCCAAGAAGATATGTTTTGACTAACCTTAATGCTGATAGTGCAAAATTAAACACATTGTCAAGTTTTAAACATAAAAGGGCATGATCCACGGAGTCAAAAGCCTTGGAGTGATCAAGGAGGGTCAGAAAAGTTACGTTTTTATTGTCGACATTTACTCTAATATCAACTGCGACTTTTAGTAGCGCTCTGATACAGATTCTGTTTTTTTGAAAACCAGATTGGTATTGACTCACCAAGGAATTACCATTAATGAAATAATTAATCTGAGTATGCATGTTACGTTCTAGGACCTTTGATAAGAAAGGTAGAATCGCAATTGGCCTATAGTCGCCATTAGATTTCTTTCTAGGAATGACTTTGGCCTTTTTCCAACAGTCAGGAAAGACCGACGTGGTCAAAACGGTATTGAAAGCGTAAGTAAGACATTGCTCAAGTACTTGAACAGTATATAATTGCTTAATATTAATATAAATGTAAAATATATAAACAGAAAAAAGAGAGAACTAGGGCAATAGAAATAGAATGAACATACAATAGTCACTTGTTGAGTTGAATTAGTTTCTCGATATCTTCTTTGCAAAACACCTTAACTTCAGTTTCTCTAGTCCGCACTCGAACAAATACTTTTCCCCTCATTAAGAAGGCAGATGTTAAGCGCTTCTGCCTTTTCAATTGCGTGGCGAACTGCAAAGTCTCACGAGCAGATTTGGTGAGACACTCGTTTAAAAATACTCGCTCCTCTGATACACGACCAATGTCACGAAGTTGCAGACCTCTTTTGTTGGTTTTGTAAAAGCTGGCCGCAGCTTTTAATAACAAAGCGCGGTCATGAGGAGAAGCGAGCTTAGCTATGAGTGGTGCAGTTTTTGCGTTATTAGGGACATGTAAGTAAAAAAATTTTGCTACCATTTTTAGCCACAACGATTTTTTAGCTCTTTTTAGCGCAATTTGAAAGGAATTTGTCTACCACTAAAAATGATTCGCGACAACACTGACCACAAAACGCGTGCTAGATTTTTACCTAGCAACTTTAAAGCATTTCAAACTGCTACATATCAAATCTGGATATTTTTTGTATAGAGCAAATAATTTTTATATGTGCCTTTATAGTACATTCGCATGCTATAAAATTTGAGATTTCAGGAAATTTTTCGAAATCCCGGAGGATTTCTGATAAGTTTCATTATTTCGATTTCATGGATTTCAATCAAATTTAAACGAAATGTGCTATTGCAATATGCATTTGAACTAAATTTTTGTTTCTTTCAAAAATCCATACATATCTTAAATGTGGCAATATTAATACACCAACTCTTTATATCAAATATTTTTATCCAACTTTTTATTCGGGCCAATGAGGCTCTTCTCCGAGACAAGTAGGGTGGAGCAAAAAATAATAATTTTTTGGATTCCGAAATTCTAAACGCAGGTCACACGATCTCGCAATTTGCCTCAAATGGTGAAAATTGTATCCCAATCGTGTGAGTGCACAAATATTTTTATTTACTCCAATCACGAAAAAGAATTTGTTCAAATTTTTCAATAGAAGTTCGCTGTATTGTACCAATCATGTGACTACAAATTGTGGTCCCAATTTCTTTTATTTTATACCAATAGCCCAATATAAAAATGTAAAAATCTGTACAAATGTACCAACCATGTGACACTGCCTTAACAGTGCGGAAAAGTTGCGTAACATGATCGCATTGTTAAAGATTCGAAAAACCTCTACATTTGTTTTTTTTGCGTTTTTTTTTTAGCATTTTCTAGATTTTGAGTTTTACAGCCCATTAAATTTTAATTTAATGTCTTCCATATAAAAAAAAAGGTCTCAGTCAGCAAACAAATTTTAAAAAAAGTCAACGTGAAACTTGCTCTTTTTTCGAAACTTGGATTGGTTACAAAACTGCATACTCAAAATCTTTCAAGAAAATCTTTCAAAAAAGGAATAAAAGGATCTTAATTTGATAAGTTTTTTTGAAATTTTAAGACTCTTGGGGCCGATTGAAAATACATATCGTTGGCTTACTTCGCAAACGTGCTAAGTCCACTTTTTATGTAAATTGATATTTTGATGCAGTAAGATAGCATAACTGAAAATATATCATTACCAAAAAAGAAAATTACCGTAATGTCGTTTTTACTTGTTGTTATGCATTGGTACGCAAATGTGCTAAGTCCAAAAAAATCAAAAAAATATATATACACGTCTGTCCGTGTACACGATAACTCGAGATATCTGAACGAAATTTGGTATGTAGGTTGCCCTTTATCCAAGGTAAGTTGGTATTAAAAATGGGCGAATCTGAATGTAACCACGCCCATTTCCGATATAAAGGTATTTTCTAAAGATGCAAAAACTACGATATTTCAGTAAATATTGGATGCAAATTGTTCAAAATTAGTATGTGAGGTAGAATTTTTGTAAAAAATATTATTGTGCAATTTTTGGAAAATGGGCGTGACCCCGCCCACCTATTATGAAATGCTGCATCTCAGTAGCCCATTCACCAAACTCGGT